CTTCCCCATTCCGCTAAATCCAAACCCCTTTCCTCCAAACTCATCGCCACCGCTATCATCTGTGTCGTCGCTGCTGTCCTTGTTCTTTCACTTGCTGTATTCTTGCACATCCGCAAGCGAAGAAATCAAGCTGCTTCTACTAGTGATGCTAAAACCCAGAGATCTAACAGCAGCACTCACTTCAATTATTCTAATGGTAATAGTAATAATGGTAATAACAGTAGTAGTGGTAACCGCAGTCATATTCCTAAGCTACAAAGACCATCGCAGACCAGTTCGGAGTTTCTCTACTTGGGTACTATGGTCAGTTCACATGGTGGAATTGATGGGCCCCACAACCCTCCGCAACGTCGTCGTAGCGGCAACGTGACTAGTGTCCCAGCGTCGAGAAAAATGGAATCGCCGGAGATCCATCCATTGCCGCCGTTACTTGGACGGAATTTGAGTCAAAATTATGGGAATAATAATAATAATGCAGATGTAATCTCGGGTAGAACTGAAGAGGATGAGGAGTTTTACTCTCCGAGAGGATCTTTGGACGGCAGAGAAAGTTCGATCGGTACTGGATCGGCGTCACGTAGGGCATTTGCTGCCGTTGAGGTGGAGAATTTTGGTGGTGGGTCCAGGTCCAGCTCATCTTCTTCTTCGTACTCGTCTTCCAGTTCCGGTTCGGGTTCACCGGTTCGGTCTGTATCACTGAGCATTTCACCGCCGGTGAGTTTGAGTCCGAAAAGCTTAATGCCTAAGTCACCGGAACTGGTCGCTATTTATACTGCTCCACCACCTCAGTATTCTCCTCCGCCTCCTCCGCCTCCGCTTCCGCCGCGAGCAAATTTTGTGCCGATATTAGTCATGGGGAATGAATCTGATTCACCATCTCCTCCTAGTTCATCATCACCGGAGAGATATTCATGCAGAAGCGTTGACTCTTCGCCCCGAGGTTTCAATGTTTGGGATCAGAATCTTGAATCTCCAGCGAGAATCACCAATCAGATACAGCAGATTGAGCCAGTTTCCGTTGCCCCGCCACCACCGCCGCCACCGCCACCGCCGCCACCGCCTCTTTCGATTAGTATCCCGGCTAGTGTACCGCCTCCGCCTCCGCCACCACCATGTAAAAATTGGGATAGTCCAAAAACTCCAACGCCACCAATTTCAAAGCCACCATCTAAGCCTCCAGTTCTTGTAACTCCTTTAAGGCCTATAGCACTTGAAAGTCCAGTATTGATTTCTCCAATGGATCAGTTGCCTTCTAATTCGGAACCCATTGAGAAGAATGAGCAGAAAATAGAAAACGAGGAAACTCCTAAACCAAAGTTAAAAACTTTGCATTGGGATAAAGTAAGAGCAAGTTCTGATCGAGAAACGGTGTGGGATCAACTCAAATCAAGTTCATTTAAGTAAGGATAATCTAAACTCTTGTTGTTACACTTATGTTTAAATGCTCCTCATTTTTTTATTGGGTAATTAAATATAGCTGATTAATTGCAGATTGGATGAAGAGATGATAGAAACCTTGTTTGTTGTGAAGACTCCAACTTCAAATCCAAAAGAAACAACTAGACGCGCTGTTCTTCCCTCGCAGAGTCAAGAGAATAGGGTACTTGACCCAAAGAAGTCACAGAACATTTCAATTCAGCTAAGGGCACTAAATGTGACTGTTGAGGAAGTATGCGAAGCACTTTTAGAAGGTATTCTTCTACTCTGTTTTTTTGGACTTGTAAATTATAACTGAAAAATGACTCGGATGATAGAAATGCCAGTTTATTGTTGCTTGATCGCTCTCGTGCTACAGAAAAGATCTTTTACTTACTGCTGAATTATCAATCAGTTCATATGTGCTTCTGGTATTAAACAATTTACCTGCACTAGTATAAATGAACATAGTGTAGACATTCACATTGTCTTAGCAGGTATTGATACGTGACTAGTTTATAGGTGTTCAAAGGGTAATTTTGCATTTGCTCCCTGGATTTCAGGGTATTAATTCTAATTATTGGGCTATAGCATCTCACTTTATTTGGTTCTGGTAAAGCATATTGGTGTATCTGTTGCCAAACCATGTCCACAGCTGTACATTTCGGGTTTTCTGCTGATTGTTGCTCTTTACCTTCAATAAGATGATCCTTTTTCTAATTCTCCTTTTTGGGTGCAAGCATATCTAGAATATATAATGTTTTCGGATTTAGAAATGAAGTACATTCTTTTTTCAGGAAATGCTGATGCCCTAGGGACTGAGCTCCTTGAGAGTTTATTGAAGATGGCTCCATCGAAAGAAGAAGAACGCAAGCTGAAAGAGTATAAAGATGATTCTCCATTTAAGCTTGGGCCAGCCGAGAAGTTTCTCAAAGCAGTGCTTGATATACCTTTTGCATTCAAAAGGGTAGATGCTATGCTGTACATTTCAAATTTTGATTCTGAGGTTGACTACCTCAGAAAGTCTTTTGAAACTCTAGAGGTAATTGTTTCAAAGTCATATCTTGCTTCTAGTTGTATATTGAGTTCTCTAAAAATCACAAAACAATTCTGAGTTTTGATTTGACAGAAGAGAGGCTTTTGTAAGGTCTTGATGTATAACAAGTTAATTAAGAAAATATGCTGGTACCTATGATTAATGAGACTCAAAAATAGCATTCTGTGATTTTGGAAGGAAGTGCTGATGCTGATATGATAGGACATCTGTTGGACTAGGGAATAATCATGCATTTTATCTTGAACTGTCGGAATTTGTGACAAACTAATCATGTACTTCTGTCTTGAACTATCGAATTGCATGCTAATTGAACCAATTCAAGTATTCATACTCTGTTTATTATATGCTCACACAAACCGATAGCAGACTGGGAAGTCTTTTCTTAAGTTTTTATGAGGTCGTCTTGGAAATTGTAATCCTTATAAGCTTTGCTACTTGACAGGCTTCTTGTGAAGAGCTGAGAAGTAATAGAATGTTCTTAAAGCTTCTGGAAGCAGTGCTGAAAACCGGTAACCGCATGAATGTTGGGACAAATCGCGGTGATGCACATGCGTTCAAACTGGATACACTGCTAAAACTTGCAGATGTGAAGGGAGCAGATGGGAAAACATCCCTCTTGCATTTTGTGGTACAGGAGATCATAAGAAGTGAAGGAGCTCGCCTCTCTGGTGGAAATCAAGATCAACAGTCGACCATTAGTGATGATGCTAAGTGCCGGAAGCTTGGCCTCCAAGTTGTTTCAAACCTTAGTTCAGAGCTTATAAATGTTAAGAAGGCTGCTGCAATGGATTCAGAAGTGCTTCATAGTGAGGTCTTAAAGCTTTCTAAAGGGATTGGAAACATCGCTGAAGTTGTCCGATCAATTGAAGCAGTTGGATTGAAGGACAGCAGCATAGAAGAATTTTCCGAGTCCATGAGAAGGTTTATGAAAATGGCAGAGGAGGAGATCATAAGGCTCCAAGCCCTAGAAAGTGTCGCCATGTCCTTGGTGAAAGAAATAACTGAATACTTCCACGGAAATTCAGCCAGAGAAGAGGCTCACCCTTTTAGAATCTTTATGGTGGTGAGAGACTTCCTAATGGTTCTTGATCGCGTTTGCAAGGAAGTTGGGATGATAAATGAACGTACAATAGTTAGTTCTGCCCACAAGTTTCCAGTTCCAGTAAATCCAACTCTACAACCAGCCATTGGCGGGTTGACTGCAATAAGGCAGCATAGTTCCTCCGACGAGGACAGTTCATCCCCTTAATAATAAAAATATTAGCTTATAGCAGGCAGAACCCTAGATTTTTGTTTTTGGCCAAAACCAATGTAATCTACTACTATAAAGGCCACTAGGAGTTTGTCTGAGACTGCCTGCCTTTAAGGTACATGTAATCTTTTTTTTTTTGAAATTTTGTATTTATATAGTTCATTGTACAAGATCTGGAAATGTATCCATTCTCATAGAAATATAAAGAGCATTTCTTTAGCAAATATCGAAAGCGTGTCGCCAGAAACATTTTATGTTTTAAGTTTGTAAGATCAGAGCCTCCAAATCAAGAATGCAGGAATTGGCCAGTGTTATTTGTAAAGTGAAACATCTGAGTGTTATGGCTAGGGCTGGTGGGGAAATAGGATACCTCCATCCAAAAAAAGGAAGGAACTTTTAAAATTTAACATTGTGAGCCAGCTGTGTATTGGTTGCCTTGTGCTTTATTTGACCGTTGGTTCAAAAGAACTTACCTTATAAAAGTATGAGAAACAAGAAAGCATGATTGCAGGAGAAAGTAAAGACAGAATGCAATCTCGCTACGCATTTTAGGGAGAGAAAAGCTAGATGCATTTGTGTATTGCATAAAGAGCAATGATTTTAAGTTATATTTACTAACAGTGCAAAATTTGTAAGTATAATTCAACTGATTTTATCAAATTATTACTCTATTTTCTATGTTACTATGTCATGTTTGCCATGAAATGTCACTTGTTATAGGTTATATTAATATACTATTGTTAGTGTATAAAACTTAAATTCAAAAACAAATACTCCTAGAAATGCTTTCACCTCCTTTTTGGCAATAATTGATGGCAATTCCCCATTCTACTTGAAAGAAGTCTTTAAATAGCTGCTACTCCCTCTGTTCCAATTTATGTGAACCTATTTTCTTTTTGGTCCGTTCCAAAAATGAACCCTTTCTAAATTTGGTAACAATTTAGCTTAAACTTACAATTCTACCCTTAATGAGAAGTTTTTATAGCCACACAAATACTCGGCCCCTTTTTGACTTGTTTAGGACCACAAATTCCAAAAGTCTTATTTTTTCTTAAACTTCGTGCCCAATCATACAGGTTCACATAAATCGGAACGGAGGGAGTACTATTTTGGAAAACCAGAAAAAAATTTCCGTTAGACTGATATTGTAGAAATGAATTCCAAAAGAAATCACTCAAAATCTGGTAAAAAAATATCTATAACTGGCGATACCTGCCTAAGTTTGCATACACAAATAATGATGGCTGTAGCAAAACAGAAATAACAGAAGTAGCATTACCAAAGAAACATTTCTATTTAGTTTTGTAATAAAAAAGAGGAATGTCTGCGTATAACGTCTTTCCTAATTTAGAACTTTGTTCCATCATTCAGCCTCATCTCCTAGGTAATTTGTATAAGTAATCTAGCAATATAAATTACTCTACAACATTGGTCTCTCAGTTTCAATTTATATGAACTGTCTTACTTACATGTTAAAACTCAAGTCGCCATCTATTTAGTTTTGTAATTAAAAGTTTATTTGCAGGTATAATTAATTGACTGCAGATGATCAGCATCCACGCGTTCCAGGACCCTACGAGCTTCCTCTTCTGTAGCTGGAACAACTTTCCGGATCCTGAATTGAGAATTTGTGGCCTTCGCCTCTGGACGGACAGTAAATGTGAAGTAGAACCTATTGGATACCTGCATTTCAGGTTAGAGAAAAAGAGCAGTTTCAGGATTTTGTAGATTGCTACATTAGCAAAAGCCAACTGTTTGTGCTGTAGCATTAACCACTCCCGTGGTTTTATTTCGTAAATCCATTTTTATTTAAACGCAGAGTTTTTAAAAAAGAAAGACTTTTACTACATACCAAAATTACTCTTAGAACTTGCGGCCTTAAAAACATACCATGACATTTCTATAATAATAAGTGCAAGTCATTAAGAGTAAAATGAGAATTTTAAAGTTGAAGAATTTCCAAGTATAGAAATGTATCATTTTTATAGAACAGACTGAAAAAGAAAGAATGCCATACAAAATGTAACAGAGGGAGTAGTTTGTGTTTTTAGAAGTTCAATATACCTCACTAGACCTCTGCTCTGGCCTAGTAACATGAGCAACAACTTCTACATTGATCAGAGGCTGATCAGTATTCTCGTGTTCAGTGTAAAGTACACATGATTTGAAACGTAAAAAGTCTCCAACATCCACCTGCAACAGGAACAAATGCACCTCTGGAATAAACTTGGAAAGATAATGTTAAGATGATACACTCCTTTCTTTTTGTCCCTTGAATGATACTAGTGATTAAGCGACAAGTTCCTTTAACATATACTAGTATTTCATCTTTTCCATATTCACATACAAAAGTAGGGCCTTTCTTGTGGCTTGTTATGATTCAACTGATCAGTCATGAAAAGTATTTAGCGCTGGGGGAACAAAGAGCACTTCTTGCATTTTCATTTTGTATGTAGCTAACAAGTATTCTAGCGGTGGAGGAAAGAATAACCATCGTTGTACTAGTTTTATTCATGGGTAACAGGTTTAGGTGTGCTGTATTCTGGTGTTGGTGTGAGACCAACCCTAACCCCTCGTAAAAGAATTGAAATAGCTCCACTATGAATCAAGTTAACAGTGATAACTGAAGAGGAGATGTTCAAGATAATGCACTTACAGGCCTAAGGAAATTAACATGATCAACCTCCAGGAAGGACGGCATCAGGCCAGCAAAAGCATAAGCCGTAGAAAATGCTAGTTCGAATGCTCTGAGCATCAGGAAACCCCCAAAGATACGACCATGAATATTTCTTTGCTGGGGCTGACAAATCAAAGAATTTTCAAGGCGGGTATCTCTGAGAAGAATGGTGTCCCTATCAGCCAATGCCGGCATGTCACAGAATATTCTACCTTCAGCTAATAATTCTTCAAGTCTGTTAACTCCCCCATTTTCAATCTCCCTTTTGTCCTCCCCTCTCTTTCTTTTCCTAATGTTATTTCTAGCTTCTGCTGCTTCATAAAGCAGCTTTTCTGCTTCTGTCTCGGGACACAATCGATTCACTGGAGCAGCTTTCCCTGTCTTATAGTCACGAGCAACAAAAATGAAGTTTGCTGTCAGAGCAACTGACTCTGAGGGGTCACTACTCCCTGTAAGAAAATTCTCCAAGTTAAACTGGATTTCTCAAATGTTGAAAGAACGAGTCTATAATTGACAAAGGTGAAAGCATAGAATGCAAAGTTATTTTGTGGGATTTAGTTATCAAATGAATAAAAGATTAACGAGACCAAAGATGAGAAAGACAAGCAAGAAACATGCAATGACCAGCAGATAAAATCATTTTTATTTACCACTGTATTCAATGAAGAGTTAGCCGTAAAATGTAAGCCCCTATCGTAACTTTAATAAAAGGAAATTTATAGCAAGAATGGGAGTCTCGGTGGTGTTGACAGCAGAGATAAGATCTACATGTGAGAAACTGAGAGAGATGTGAAAATAGCAGCTTATAGAAAAGGAAAGAACACTCTAGGTTATCACTTGTCACGATAATACAAAGATTTAGAATATGTGGCTAGGGTTGACAAAGAAGTGTTGGTTTCTATAGGGAGAGAAGATCTACATTCACGAACTTTGCGTCAAGTAAAATTTGGGGATGATGGCAATGCTGGCATACTTCAACTATAAAATGCCATGTCTTAGGGGTACAACCATACAAGTTAAAGATGAAACGATTTAAATAGTATTGTCAACATGAGATTTTACCGGCCGATGCGGACTTAAATAAGAAAAAGCAAGATTAAGTCTCAAAACCAGGTTTAGGCTAGATCGTAATTGTTTTTGAATTTAACATATTCATACACTAGGTACATATATATGGTAAACTATGTAAACACTTTCTGGTTCTCTGTAAGTATCAGTCTTTGTCACTAACTTAAAGATACTTTTTTTTAAAGTATGAAAGTGGTTAACTAAATGATATTAGTTGATACACTTTAGACGAGCAGCTAATGAAAAATGTTGCATAATTCTAGTAAACGAATTCAGTTTAAGAAAATACCACTTGATGGCTGTATAACGTCAAGTTGAATTTCAATTGAAGAAAAGCCAACCCAAATAACTGCACCAACCATTTTCAGATCAGTGTCAACACTGATTGGCTTCTTCAGCACCATTTTATCAACGGAGGCAGTCACCAAATAGAGTGGTCTAGTCATGCTATCAACATCCGAGCAATGCTGATTCAACCAACAAGAAGTTTAGCAGACACATCCCAATAATATATTGAAGTACATAAGCTAGCACTCAAGAATGTCGCTTTCTAAGGAAAAAGTTCCAAAAATCATACAGCGCACAGCATTATATTCCTTTAAAAAAAAAATCAAATACTAATTATAATTATGCCAAGGCAGTGTTGAAACACAAAAGTAAGGAAGCACATTAAAGTCCACAAGATCCATCCAACTATCTATGAAATGAAGATCTTGTTTACACCAAAATATAAATGAGAAAAACAAACACTTTAACCCCCCACATAGAGTTCTCCACACCCTACAAATTCTACTATTTCTCTCCAAATCAACCAAAAAATACAAGAGAGAAATATTCCATGCTTTTTTCTTCCTTGTTCAACTTTTCTCATCCTCCAACTTGCTAAAAACTTTGTCATCTTTTAAGGTCATACCTATAACATATTAAAGAGGAATAGTAGATGTGCATAACTCCACCACGAAGTTAACAGTAGGTGATCCACATCCTCACCTCTTCTTTTGCCCATGCAGAGCAGTATCATTTCGCTACTATGCAATCCCTCCTTTTATCCACATTTGGGTTACAACCCAAATGCAACACCATGTAGAGAAAGTCACATTCTTCAGTACCTTATTTTTCCATACCATTACCAGCATCCAAATTGGGTGTGACGTTAAGTTTCTCAAGGAATTCTCAATGTCTCCCATTCCCAGTCATGAATGGATCTCCAGAATGAGATATCACATGACACTTGAACTGCATCTCTTCTTAATATTTTGGCTACCATTTGTTAGTCATGATTGAGAATATATCAGGAAACTTTCTTAGCCAACTCTCCGCATCATATATCCAACCAAAATTGAATGCGGTTGTCATTATTCATTATGAAGCCAATGAATCTAGAGAATTCTTTCATTCACCTCATGATTCCTTTCCATAGGCATGTCCCATCTGAAGTATTAACTTCATTGTAGAACCAACTATGTTGTAACATCCATATTTTCCAAGAACTACCGTCCTCATCATTTCTCCGCATGCAAATCTCGATAACCACTTCTGAATAAAGCATAATGAATCTTTATTTTCCTGACTCCCAAACCTTTTGCTCAAATTGAGGCCATGACCTTGTCGCATTCTACCGGCTAATATCTCCTCTCAACTGTTGCTTCACACCACAAAAAGTCTCATTAATTTCTTACTCAAGCTAATAGAAGCAAAATGGTGAGCAATAACATGAGTTGTGAACTACCGGCTTGAAAGTGTCGCTTCTACAAGAGTTTTTACACCCCTATTGGAAAAATATTGCTTTTTCTATTCTTCAATCTCCTTTAAATTTTTCGCATCACTGGTCACCACCCTAAGGTAAGGTCAGATAAATGGTCTCAAGTAGAGTGGACGGTGTATAGAGGATTCAAATAGCCTATCTCAACTAGTTTGAGATGGTGGAGTAGATGAATGATAGAAAGTGGGATCAGATAAGTTCTCAGGAGATTAGCCATCTTATATCCATATAATGATGTTAATTCTTGTATGGTCTGTGCTTCTCCTATGGGAATATAATCTTACTTCATTATATCTATACATTGTTTGGGTTAACCTGAAACCATATCCATATTTTTGAACAATAATCATACATGTCTTATGTGTGATTTGCACAATATCAATTTATCATCTAGGAATAAAAGATGTGAAATATGGATCTTTTCATTCATTCCCTCGATCGCCACAATTCCATTCAGAAGCCTATATTTAAGAATTGCTCAATGAGTTATACTCAAGAGATGATGAGTTTCCTTGTCTAATGCCTCTATTATTACTGGAAAAGCCATTGGAGTCCTTTTAATCATTATGGAGAACTTTACGGTGGATATGTGATAATGTATCAACTTTTTGTCCCCAAAAGCCCATTCTGCAGTAGTATTTATGTAAGAACTTCCTTTTTACATGGTCATAAGCTTTCCCATATCTGCTTAGCACATAAACCATGATCTTCCGCTTCTGAGCCTCGAGTACACTGTCTCATTAGAAATAAAACTGGCATCCAAGATTTGTCTTCCACTCATAAAGGCACTAAGTAAAAGATTCTAATCCATTACTATCCTATACCTTATTTATACTATTTTTGCCATGATTTTGTACATGCTCTATATCATATGCCCCTCTTCTCTTGGGCATCAAAACTATTAAATGATGAGCTGAAACTTATCCCAAATGATCCACAAAAATGGAAATATCTATGCATTCCAACACATCTTTTTTCTAATACCATTTCCCTACAATGTTGAAGAATGTTAGGGTTAGAGTGCAAACCATCAAACCTTGGTGCCTCATTACCTAAGCAATGACAAAATAACTTGTTTAACCACCACTTCCTGAAAGATTTCTCAAGCTCTTCCTCATTCTCATGGCTAATACTCGAGAAAGTAACACCATCCATGCCTTGTCGCTAGGCTTCCTTCTTCAGTATGTAGTGTCTTGATAATACTGTAGCATCTTTTGCCAAGCTCCATTATCCTTCAAGAGCTCGTCTCTGTTGATTTCTATGTTTTAAGGAAATTGGATCTTTTAAGGGCACTAACCATGCATTGGAAGAACTTGATATTATTGTCTCCCTCTTTCAACCAACTTATGTGTTTATTTTTTCAGCAAGTCTCCTATGTGGGAAAAATTCGTCCCAAGCTATCTGTGATATGTCCTGCTGAATCTTATCTCAATCAGTCTCCCCTTTTCCTTTCAGAATATTCACTTCATGGAATAAGCTTTTAGGTTCTCTTCCTCAAATCCATTTTACTGCTTTCAGCTTCATCGCTGTTAAGAAAATGGATCTTGGAACAACCTCAACTTTAAAAGCTAGTGCATGAGATAAGAATTGAAGAAGACCATATAAGGAGAATATAACTAGTGTGAACTTTTGTCATAACTGCTGTGATTTTACTTTATTGAGCGAGGGTTTTTATTGAGCCGAGGGTCTTACGGAAACATCCTCTCTACCTTCGCAGGGTAGGGGTAAGGACTGCATATATACTACTCTCCCCAGACCCCACTAGTAGGAATATACTAGGTATGTTGTTGTTGTTGTTATAACTATTGTGAACCAATATGGAGCACTCTAACACTCCCCCCATACGCCTATGACTGGACCTTTAAGTATGGATAATATACTATGAGGGCCCAATATCGAAAAATAGAACAAGGATATGTCTAAAAATAACTTTAGGCCTAACTTAACCAAAAAACTAGTACAGGATTGCCCAAGAGCATATAAGGAGACTACAACTCATTTCATTGTTGAGAAACTGGACTTTCTCAACCCCAAAAGTCAACCTAAAAGGATGAGGACTGCTCAAGACCATAAATGAACTACATCCCATTTTCTCAACCTATTTGGGACATTGTAGCACCTTACCCTCCCTCCTATCCCCTCCTACATGCCTAGCACTGAATATTCGGAGTGCGGATAACATTACGGGGGAACCCAACACTGGGTAACACAATAATAAGGATGAGTCTAAATCTGATACCATGTTAAGTAAATTGACCATGGGCCTACTTGACCTCAAAAGATAGCACATGAGCTTCGGAATACCCAACACCATATAAGGAGATTGCAGCTCATTCCATCAACCAATATGAGACACTCTAACACCGCTTTCCCCCTCCGCAACATGTACAAAATTGACATATAGCTCGTGAATAGCTTAAAATAGGGGGTCCAACATTGGATAACATAACAATAGAGATGAGTCTGCCTCTGATACCATGTTATGAAAATTGATGTTGGAGCTAACTCAGCCTTAAAAGTTAGTTCATGAGGCATGAATTGTCCAGAGACAACAACTCACTCCTTCAACCAATATGGTACACTATCAATCACCAACATGAAACTTGGTAGATGTCCCACCATTCCTTTTCCATCTTTTTGACGTCATGCTATTTTACTGACATATTTTCTATTCTGAAACAGTGATGGACCTCCACACTGTAAAAAAAAATAGGACAATGGTCAGTTGTTGGTAGGCATGTGAACTAAGTCTGGGAATCTCTCATCCTACTCAGTTGATATAAGAACTCTACTTATCCAAGAAGCCATCATCCTGTTCCCCCACATAACCTTGCCAGATGAAGCTGTTACATACACTAAGCTTACAATCCATGCAAATCAATCTGTAACTTTGTTGGTGAGGTTGGATGGTGACTGCTCACAGGATATTACAGTTGGAACCCTGATCTTGTTTGCAGTTGATCAAAAGAGAAAGAGCATGTCCCTCTGTACAAGGACTTCATCTTCTTATAGTTCTTACATGAAACAAAGACAGGAAACTTAGTTCAACATCAACTCTCATAGGTGGACCTCATCTAATCCAAAAATCTGTCATTTTTCAATAGCTTTTTAGCAAATGTTGCAGATATTTCATGCGTAAGTGCAGGACATTGCCTAATATTATTCCTCAAATGAAGTGAATTTAGATGAACATACCGAAGAAAATAACAGATGGATCAGATCATACATATGAACAGTACTGCTACATCACCTATTAATGGTCCACTTTTCTTTTCTGTAGTGTTTTTGAACAATGTCCACTTTTCTTTTCTGTAGTGTTTTGAACAATGTCTACTTCCCTGTATTGCATATGCATCACTATGCACATCAATCCAATTTCTGAAAATCTAGTCACGTGGTTCTAAAATAAACAATAAACTAAAAGTTTGAATCACATGACCTAAGCAATCTGTATTTTAACACTTGACCTTAGTGACTTAGACAAAAAGTATCTTCTTTTTTTTTAAACTCTAGAGCATTCATATTTACCACTATCCCCATTTCAAAGGGTGCCAAGCATACAAAGATCTGCAACTCGTATGCATACTTACCACTATCCCCTTTTTGATGGTGCCAACCATAACGAGATATGCAACTTGGTACTGAGTATGTATACTACCACTACTGAGTATACGTATTTACCACTATCCCCTTTTCAACAGTGCCAAGCACCGAAGATATTCAGCTCAGTGATGAGTATGCATATTTGCCACTATCCCCTATTTGATGGTATCAAGCTAACAATAGTCTTGTGCAAAACATGATATGAAAAATAGGACTAAGTAAGTAACTTAATGGAACTATATTGATAAATAGTTTTAGCCAATGGAATCAGGCATTAAAATACATGGAAACACTGAAAATTTGAACAACGACAAACATATATGTACAACAGAACAACCAACCTTAGACTTCTAAATTCAACCATGAAAATCCAAATTTTTTCTATTTTCAGTATCCGAGAAATACCCAGGAGCACGGTTCAAAACTCGGTGGATAATGGCCTGCCGCCTGCCCTTCTACCCTTCTCCACCCGATGAAAAGTTAAAATGTTAATGCAGCAATGGAAATAAAGACATACAATTAATCAAATACGAAATTGGCATAGATAATAAAGCTTGTACCTTGACAGAGATAGTACCAGCAAGAGCATCGAGATCTTCAAGCAACTTCCCAATTCTGACCTCATTCCAAGGATCCCTGTACTGTTCCCTCAGTATATAATCAGTGGAGAAATTATAAAGAATTGAAGTCCTGCTCTCTGCTGGGGTTTTCTTAAGCAATTCACTTTGTGGGGGAGCATCAAGTGGTGGATCAAGAAGTCTTTCGAAAATCTTAGACCTTGTTTCCCAAAGAGCATTAGTCACTGGAGAATGATACATTCCTGGCCATAAACTAAGTGGTTTTCTGCTTGAAGAAGAATTGGAGGAATCATTTTGGTCAGGAGAACCCTCAAATGGTGAAGCAAAAGTGGACACTACACGAATGGTATTTGGAGAAGAAGAGCTAAATTCCATTGGAAGGCAGTAAATCTTTGTTGAAAAATAAACAGTTTTGACTGGAAGGTGAGATTGAATTTGGTAAGAAGCAGCTGAAGTTTGGAACTTTGGGAATTCCAAAAAGCAAGTCACGAAGAAACTGTTGGAAAAGGACAATTTTTGGACCCCACTTTCTCTTTCCTTTTAATAAGGAAGTTAGGAGTTAGGACAAATTCTTTCTTAAAAAGCTCTGTAATTAGAGCTAAAACGGCAGTTCGGTCCCTAAGTTTATGTCGTTAACTTCACTCTGGTCCCTCAACTTTTACGAATAAAACATTTCCACTGACCAGAGTACTCGACGTAAAAGGATTAATTCGCAGCCATAGCAGAGATCCAGAAAACTTAACTGATGGGATGTCTATTGTTCTCGCGTATTCAAGAGCCAGAATACACTAGGATTTTCTGATAGCTAAGGAAAGGGGAGTTGGCTTCTATTTATAAAGAGTTTCTACCCATCAAAGACCATTTGTTATTGGGCATCACTTATCCACACACATAGTATTAATGTTAGGCCTTTTATTTATCCATCACTTGGACCACATCACTATCTTTCAGGCTATAAACAATTAACGCAAGTTCAAAGTCCAACATTCTCCCACTTGGATGCCAACGTTAATTGAGGACAAGAAAACAATGTTAAACTTTTGAGTTTTGAGAAAAATATTTTCTAAAAAAGATTTTAGACTATATAGTGGCCACACTACTTATATAGCTAAGGATAGAATGACCCATAGCAATCCATCCAGTCTTAATGGAGAACACTAACAATGACCCATATAACAATCTATCCTTCACCAATCGTTCAGTTCTTTCTTTAGAAATATGACCAAGATGCCTATGCTATAATAGGTAAAACATTTTACTCATATCAGACCTTTTGTGGGCAATATTTTCAACATGCATTGCAGGAAAAAAAAATTCATTCAACACGTTCAAGCGATATAGACCATCACTTAAAAGGCATCATCAACAACATGTGAATCGTAGAAAATTTTAATAATGCTATTATTTTGTTGGAATGAATAACCAGCTTTGTCCAACAGTGAAACTGAAACTAATTTTTGTCTCATAAACGGTACAAACACAATATTTTATAAACGAATGTGATCACGCCCAACTCTAGTCCTAAAAAGGATAAGCGGTTGCTGCAAATATAATCCGGTCTAAAAGTCCGGAGTCGAATCCCACAGAGAACTAAGGCTAGCTATATCTGTTTAATATCACTAAGAAGACAAGTTTGAACAATTTTCTAAATTATAAAGATTGAGATTTATATTTCTAACTAATAATACTACAAAGCAATAAAATTATCAACTAACGAAACAAAGGGTTGGAGACTAAATTAAGGAGGTCTAGAGTTATGATTTCCCCAATTGTCGGAATCCTTCTAGCTATGTTCCCTACAATTTCGCCAATGTATTCTCTACCGATTGTGAGTACTTTGGTTGTCGTAATTCTCACTCGAGCAACTACCACAATTTACTAGATGTATTCTCTCGAACTACACTAGCTGACATTAATTCACTGCTCACTACGATCGCACCAAGGTTTCGTTATCTCTAATCTCGCCTTTAAACCCTCCGTATTGATCTCTCACATACTTTAGGAGTGATGTTGTTCAACAACTACCTAAATATGTATCCTTTCTCAAGCAACACATAATAAATAGGCATAGTCAATCGATGGCCATTCAATCAACAACAATAAACACGTAGTTGAACAAGTAGAGAAATCCAACGACTCAATTATATAAAAACACAACAAGAATTTATCCTACAAAAGGTTCCATCAAAACCCTAGATAACAAATTAGCTATTCATAATAGTATGTAAAACTACAATACTAAAAATCATAACCAACAATGAAAAATAGGAAGAGGAAGGAAAAACTCGTTGAAGAATTCTCCGCCTTGCTTCCAGTGTGTTCTTGACTCCTTAGGTCGAATCCCCGGTCTCCTTAGCCTCCTTAGGTCAAAATTATGTCAAAAGTGTATCAAAAATTGGTCTCCTCCTTTAAAATACCGTTTTCCATGTATATATACCAAGTAGGGTTGGGCCCAAACTATTATACCTTCTCCTACGCGAAAAAGGATAATTTTTTCACGTCTGGACAGCCGCGGCCGCGGTCAACCGCGGTACGACCGCGGTATATGGCAAGTATACTGCCTCAGCCCGCCTCAAGTCCACGATCGCGGTTTCGACCGCGTTTTTTATCCTGTTCCGTTTGGAATTTGGAAAAATATAAAATATGAAAGTTGTAGCCCTTTGAGTTAGCTTTCTAACTATATATTGTGAAACCCAAATGGAGTTCTGAGCAAAATGTTATGTGCATTTTACTAGAAAGTGCGCAATATGCCTACTCGATTCTTCGTTTTGTTGCTCTATCATCTGTTGATCCCTGAATACGATCCTGGCTTAATTTCTTGGGCTTTTACTCAGACTTCAAAGCTCCAAATCACTTGAATTTATTTCATAACATCTATATAGCTCGGAATCACTCATACAAGGCATAAAACACATTATTAGTGCAAAACACTAACGATTAAAACGCAAACTCAACTAAAGTGCAGTAAATTTGAGTGTAATAAGCGACTAAAATACGTAATTATAGCCTATCATCAGAATGCTAGAATTATTTTTAAAAGGTAAAATAACAATCCCTATAAACACTATTTTTGCTTTGAGTCCATTGCCCACAACAACCTTCCGTCTACTTACTAGATCCTACAAGTCATTGGTTACATGAACAGTTGCACCACTATCCAACCACCATGAATTTAAAGGAACATGAACAAGACTAGTTTCAAAGCAGACATAAGCCAAAAGATTACCTGGTTTCTTTTTTAGAGGACACCCAGCTTTCTTATGACCTACTTGTTTGCAATCCCATCACTTGATTTCTTTCTTAATTACAACTAGAGGACCAAGAGGATTATGAGACTGACCTTGGTTAACACCAGACTTATTAGTATGACCACTATTACCACCTGGACGATGAGACTGACTATGTCTCTTTTTATGAAATTTGGGTCCACCTTTTCTTTTATAAGAGGGATAATCAGCTAATCTTAACGAACAAACAAGATTTACTACGCCCTCAACCTTCTCCTTTTGGATCCTCTCTTCCTCTACCACACAAACAGTAATAAGCTTACCAATACTCCACATATCCTTTTGTGCATTATAGGTTGTCTTAAGCTGGCTGAACTGCTCAGGAAGGGACCTTAGGGATGACTGAACAAGAAAATCATCGGTAATGGTTACACCTAAATTATTCAGTTTGGTGGAAATGTTAACCAATTTCATGATATAATCACGGACACTACCTACAAGGTCATACTTTATGGTAGACAGGGAATCAATTAGGCTACATATCTCAGCTTTATCAGAATCTAGGAATTTCTGTCCAATGGCACTCAAGAAATCCTTTGCATTGCCATTAACCTTAATTTAACCTTTTATGTGATCAGAAATGGATCTCTTTATGATCATAAGACTCAATTTGTTAGCCTTCATCCATTTCTCATACTTAGCCTTTTCATCAGCAGTGCTAGTAGTTGTAGGTTCAGTAGGTTTCTATTCAATCAATGCAAAGTCCAGGTCCATCAAACCTAAATTTATTTCAACATCTTGTAGTTGCTACTAGTCAGAGTTTCAATGGAATTCAACTGAGTATTCATGTTGTTAACAGCTGTATAAGCAAACAACACAAAAGTTAGAGAAAACCATGGGCATGAATGTATAAATCAAAAGAGTCAAAGACATCTATTACCCCCCTCCTTTGGGTAGAAGATGCAACTATCTCCCCTTTAAAAGATCATGAAGTCCAAGGCATTCATTGTATCCTCACCTTAGGCAAGAGATACAAAACCTCCTCCCCATATCATCCAAGAGTACAAGGCATACATTGTGTCCTTCCTTTAGGCAAGAGACACAAAACCTTCTCTTACAACAAATTGTCCTTATCTTATATATATACATGAGAATCCAAGACATTAAGTTTCATCCTCTAGGCGAAAACACAATATCTCATTTGATAAATTAATTTAGCGTCACTAGTATCAAAAAGGTAAACCTCCAATACTAGTATACACCTTTTAAGAACAATTTAGGCATGGTACATTGAGAATATTCTAATACTCAAATAAACAGACCACTATGGTAGAAACTATTCATTAATCATAATTCTCAATACAATTATTGAATAATCTCCAGTGTATATAATATTAAAAACTTTTCAGTAATTCCAAATAAATAGAACACTTTGGTGATATTAATCACAAGATCTTAGTTATACACACCCATATGTGTAGACTCTGTAATATATATTTATTAATTCCATTCATAGACCAAATAGTAAGAGCACAGATAAAATTCATTAAAATGAAGGAATATAACGACCAACTGTGAGTTTGGCTGTTTACTTGGCACAAAAAATAATATATTATGTAAATAAGGAGATAATCACTCCTAAATAGAAAGGTCTTTATTAGTTACTCTCTTTAGTTTCCACGTAAAGCCAAAGACCTTTTGTAAGTTACTTCTCCCGTTTCTATTTATGTGAACATGTTTGATTGAGCACGGAGTTTAAGAAAAAAATGAAGACTTTTGAAATTTGTGTCCTAAACAAGTCAAAAAGGGGCCCAAATTATTTGTGTAGTTGTAAAAGCTTCTCATTAAGGGAAAAATTGTAAGTTTAAACTAAATTGTTACCAAACTTGAAAAGGGGTCATTCTTTTTGGAACGTACCAAAAAGAAGATATGTTCACATAAACTGAAACAGAGGGAATGGTTAATTATTAATTTACTATGCGTGTGCTTATCACAATTCACATACTGTAGGTCTATTAATTTGTTTCTCGCCTCTGTCAGTATACATCAAGGTATTCCCTTCAAGGTATTATTTTGTTTACCGTCGCTGTCAGTAGAAATCACAAAATATCTAAACATGCTGGCTCAGGAAAGCATGATTCAACCAGATAATCCGTTCAGAATCTCTTCAATACAGATTAGAAGAGGGATCATAAACCGCCTATAAGAATAAAATTGTGGGTTTTGTCACCACCGGAGCACTCGTATCTTTAATTCACAAAATTAATCTTCACTTAAGAAAAATAGAGATTCGGCAGT